CTCAAGAAATAACATCTTTAGATTTTTAGACAAATATTTTAAAATGTACTTTTAGCATTTAACAATCTCCTTGAGTTTCTCTGAATTTGTTAATACTATGAGAGATCAAGTGAAAGTTTCAGACCACAGAGGCTTTATAATCTACTCAAATCAGTAACAGTTAGTTTCTGGAATAGTACTCGCTCTTAAAAAAAAAAATACTACGCAAGGGAAGAGGGAGGGAAGGGAGTGGAGGAGGTTGGAGGTTGGAGGTTGGATCCTTTGCTCCCATCCAAAGGTGGGTGAGAGAAACCTGAGTCTATAGGGATATGCTGGCTGGCCGGCATGGTGGGTATTGCTCCTGTTCTTGCATGTGTGGATTCTGCCTGTGACACTTTGGCTCTGTGTCAGAGAATGGTGAAGATTGTGTGTGGACGAATGATGGATGGCATTTTTCCGGGCAGCTCTTAAAGTTCGTTTTAAGTGAGCAGCTTGGGATTTGGTTTCTTTGCTGTGTGTATGTCTACTAGAAAGAGAAGCCAGAAGGGCTATGTTGTGCAGTGACCCTGTGCCTCCAGGGAGGAAGGAACTGTCCCTTTTCAGGCACCCTCTGAAGTAGACCCAGTGGGAAACACTTCCCAATGAGCCTGTCTCTGTTGAAGGGGGCACTGATGCCTCTATATGGAAGCCATACTCTCACCAAAAGCGGGGGTATCAGTTTGGGATTGAAATTGGTATAAATCAGCTGCTCCAAGTGAGAGGAGCTCTAGGGTACAAAGCCTGTGCCAAGGCAGGAGATGAAGAGGGAAGGAGACCCCCAGAGGTCCTTTCCTCAGAGGAAAGAGTGAGGCGAATGTGGGCAGGGGAGCAGTGGTGATGGATCTGCTAGGGTTGAGGCTTGCAGACTTGGCTTTCTGGCTTGAGACTTCGTTTTAGGACACCAGTTTGTAGTAAAAGGGGGAAATGCAGACTGATAATAAGAGGCTAACAGGAAACATGTGGGGTTTTCATATGACTATGTTGTGCGTTTTCAAAGGACCTAATAGAATGGAAAGCAAGAACAGCTCCTAGTTAAAGAGACACTTATGGGGATAATTTCATTCTGATTTGCAGAAGGCTGACATCTGCCCTGATGTATATTTAGATGCTGTATATTTCTGTGAGCCATGCCAATGCTCTTGGTCATCTCTTTGCCTTTGCAGTGGGTAAAGGAATTAAGTGGAAAGCATGCAAGGGTGAACAGATGAGTTTTTTTCTCAGTTGCAGTATACTTCTGCCCAGGAGATGAGGCCCAGAATAGATGCCTCTTAAGAACCTTTCTTTCTGTCTTTAGCTTTTCTAATTCTTTATGCTTTTACCTTCTCTAAGGCTGAACTTTGATGTAGTCCAAGAAAGGTTGTTCATTAACATTTCCAATATTAAGGCTAATATAACCTTACACTCAGCAACCAAATAGACGGGGACCTCAGGTTTGCATCCTCTTTGAATTTATCTAAATGGGTTTGGAGCTTTGATAGTGGGATATAAAAGGGCACCTAGGACAACTTTGCTCAGAAATATGCAAAGACCTTTCTTCGGGATTGGATGAGACTGCCTTTTGTGTCATATGACTTTATTCTTTCTTTCCCCCTTCCCCTTCTTTACAGACTCTTGAGTTCTTCTTGAATTGCCAGTTTTCAGCCTCCTCATGCCTCCGTCTCCTTTAGACGACAGGGTAGTAGTGGCACTATCTAGGCCCGTCCGACCTCAGGATCTCAACCTTTCTTTAGACTCTAGCTATCTTGGCTCTGCCACCCCAGGCAGCAATAGACACCATCCTGTCATCGCCACCACAGTTGTGTCCCTCAAGGCTGCGAATCTGACGTATATGCCCTCATCCAGCGGCTCTGCCCGCTCCCTGAATTGTGGATGCAGCAGTGCCAGCTGCTGCACTGTGGCAACCTACGACAAGGACAATCAGGCCCAAACCCAAGCCATCGCTGCTGGCACTGCCACCACCGCCACGACCGCCATTGGAACCTCTACCACCTGCCCTGCTAACCAGATGATCAACAACAATGAGAATACAGGCTCTTTAAGTCCATCAGGTGGGGTGGGCAGCCCTGTGTCGGGGACCCCCAAGCAGCTAGCCAGCATCAAAATAATCTACCCCAATGACCTGGCAAAGAAGATGACCAAATGCAGCAAGAGTCACCTGCCAAGCAGGGACCTGTCATCATTGAGTACCCTTCATGGAGTACAACAAAAGTCACATCCAAGGAGCTGTCCATGTTAACTGTGCCGATAAGATCAGCCGGCGGAGACTGCAGCAAGGCAAGATCACTGTTCTAGACTTGATTTCCTGTAGGGAAGGCAAGGACTCTTTCAAGAGGATCTTTTCCAAAGAAATTATAGTTTATGATGAGAATACCAATGAACCGAGCCGAGTGATGCCCTCCCAGCCGCTTCACATAGTCCTCAAGTCCCTGAAGAGAGAAGGCAAAGAACCTCTGGTGTTGAAAGGTAATGCCCCTGTTCTGTCCCAAGCACAGTCCCGTTTAGCTGGGTTCACTTTGGGGTTTCTCTTAGCAGTGGCAGCCTTCTCCTTACCCTGGCTACCAGAGAACAGAACAGACTCTCTTCTTGTCTTCTCTGCCATGCCCTTTCTTTATTATTTTGGTATAGTGAGAAAAACCCAGCAGCACTGAGTTGGAAGTCAGAAGATCTGGGTGCTACCCTTGATTCGGCTTCTGATTTGCATTGTGCAAGTCATTTCACCTCTCTGAGACTGTTTTGTCATCCTTCTAAAAAGGGGCTTTATACCACCAGATGGTGTCTCAAGTCATGCCTGGTCTGGTGGCTTTCTGTTCCAGTCCATAACTAATTGGAAAGTTGCTGTCTCTCAGACCTAACCAATGCTGATGAAACAGAGGAAGCAACTCTGGTGCACTACAAGTAAACCTACAGGTACCAGCTCTTTTTGTGGGAGATTCTTCCTCTTTCTCACCTCTGATCAGCTTGACTTTTATATAGCTTATAAAATGACCTTCAAGAAGGGCAGAGATTTATTTGTAAAATGGAAGTGTAAATTCATCGAATACCTCCATTCCTTTGCCAAAGCTCCAAGGGGACAGAAAGATTTTTATGAAACACTTTCCAACTCATTGTACTTTTTTGGCTTCACCTGATAACAATTGGCATGGTGGTTCCTCTCAAAAGGGAGTAGTAGGTCACCTTGCCAGTACACTGAATGTAGAACAACTCTGAGGTTAGTGAAGCTGAGTCCCAAGAGGAGGAATTAATTGTCCACTCTTCTCTGAGCCCCTTCCATACAGTATTATCTAACCTAGCAGAGGAGCCCTGATCTTGTGTCCAGCCTAGTTGCAATTCTTTGCTCTCAGACACTGCACCTCGTTTCTCTTTGGCATCTTCTACTTGGTGACAGTAATGAGAAATAGTCATCCTTTTTCTTCTCTCTTCTTGTGTTTTGAGCCAAGGTACACAGTTTCTGGGTCACATCTCCAACCTGTCTCCGGAACTGTGTTGATCAAAGGTGTTGCTGGGTTCTTTTGAACACTTTGCATATTTAAATTGCAACAGGTGATTTAGGTGAACAAATTACTTATTTTAGCTTTGTGGGACAGCTCTGCCACCATTCTTCTTGTTTTCCACGAGAGGTCTTTAGCCTTTTGGTACGCAGTGTTCTTGGAAATATGGTCCTGAATTCCTTTGCTAGTAGTCCCCTCCCACACCCACTTAACACTTTATTCTCAAGTTTTTTCTCATTGGGCTCAGATATCACAAGGGCATATCTTTCAAGGTTTACTTGGAGTCACAAATACGTTCAGGCTTCCTCTGTGTAGCTCTGTATTTTGTTTTTGTATTCTTGTTTGGTTGACTTTTAGTATTTCCCAGTAGGTTTACCTTTCTTCTGTTCTCTCACCACAATCCTGGTTTGTCTTTTTCAGATGAGAAAATACCATCTACAAATTTCCTATTTCCCATTTGTAATAGTTTGTCTTGGGGAACAAAGACAAATGGTCTTGCTGGTCTCTTTTCTTTTATAGACATTCTTAATTTAAAAAAAAAAAAAAAAAAGCATGGTTTTTGTGTCAGCATGACCAGAGGAGAAATGCCAAGCAACAGAAAATAAGATGACCCTGAACTTGAACATGGGGATGATCAGGAGGAGTTGTAGATCTTACCCTGCATTTTTCAAGGGGCCTTGTTGGGTAGAAGGTTGGCTTGTCAATTACTGATAAATCAGTCTCTTGAGGGCGGCTGATGAAATGGGGTTCCTCTCCCCCTTTCCTGTGGATGCATCTGAGAATCCGGGCAGCCTGGGCTTGTTCCTCAATGTCTGAGAGCAAGGTTGCCTCAGTGGGGCGGGGCAGGACACGCTGCTGACCTCACCACCAGGTGCCCTGGGTGTCCGCAGCGGAGGGCTCATCATTTTCGGGTTGGTGAGACAGCACAGTGGTGAACTTGGAAGACGCTCTGGTGGTAGAGGTTGGATTATTTGTAATTTGGGGGGGGGGGATTTTTCTTCAAACACCTGGAAGTTTGGTTGAATTCACATAGTTCAGGAGCAAGTGGGTCTGTAATGTACTCTCTTTATTATTGTTTTGTTCATTTGATATCTTTTGATGGAATGGCCTAAAATTGGGACCCAAGATAAGAATGAGAGAAAGGGATGAATCCTCATTAGAATGTCCCTGTTGTCCTTTCATCTAGGCAAACCCGAGGTTAATATCAGAGCAGCATTGAGGTGAAGAATGGGGTGGGCCTTTCTCAAAAGAAATGGTCAACAACTTCCCCCAGGTTCTTGAGTGGGCCAAGAAGACCATCCAGATGTGGCTTCTCTTCTGAGATTTATTTTAGGAATCCCCTTCCTCTGTGATTGTATTTCAGCAAGAGTAGTAGTGGTACCATTTTGGAATGAGGGATTTTTCCAGGGAGGATATGTGTGTGTTGGGGGGGGGGGGGGGGTTAGAATATAAGGTAGAAACTTCTTTGTAGGTCTTGTAAGTTTATTTCCAGAGATTTCAGTGACCACACCCCTGACAGGACGGAGGGGTGCACATGCTCCCAGTGCCCGTGTGGAGCCAGCAGGAGGTGGACATCCACGTCCCCATCACCCTCCACCCCAGCATCTTGACGTTCCCGTGGCAGCCCAAGACTGGCGCCTACCAGTACACCATCCAGGTACCTGGGCTTCCCGGGCGTGTGGCCTCCGTCCGCTCTGTGACTTTTTTTGGTAACCAGAGATTGAACTTGGGGGTGCTTGGCCACTGAGCCCCGTCCCCAGCCCTTTTATATCTTATTTAGAGACAGGGTCTCGCTGAGTTGCTGAGGGCCTCACTAGGTTGCTGAGGGGCTGGCCTCTAACTTTTGGTCCTCCTGCCTCAGCCTCCCCAGCTGCTGGGATTCCAGGCGCAACATGCCTGCTGTTCTGTACCCTTGGCGTTGCTCTCTGTGGTACGACCAAGTATCAGGGGCTGTGGTCCTGTGTGCCCTGAGGTCCCTGTCACTGCAGTGTTCTGGGTTGCCAGGGAAGCAGCCCACAGTGGACACTAGCTGGAGACCACAGTGAGGCCTGGAAGGGCCTGGAGTCCCACTCGGCAGTCACTTGTGTAAAACATGTGGAGCAGCATAAGTACACCAGAGAGAACTTTGAGATTTTCAGGGAAAACTCTCTGCAACCCTGTCCACGCCAAGCGTCTGAACTCGCTGGCGTCCATGTTCCCACACGGAGTGGCCTCGTGGCCTGTGGCCAGCCCAGTCCCCGGGCTTTGTGGGTCCCCTGGTGATGACAGGTGGCCTGTCTCTGCACCAGCATCTGCCCCTGCCCACCCAGACCTGGTGACATCTTGGCCTCTGGGGTTCAGGATCCTAACCCCTGACCTGGCCACAGCGAGTCTGGCATTTGTCCCCAGCAGGGGGTCAGGACCTGGCCAGGGCCTGTGCTCATGTCTGGTCACAGAAGCAGCGTCTGCTGGTGACTCTGGGGCCAGGGCCAGGGCCAGGGTTCCGTGTTTGTGTCTTGCAGTCATGAGTTCCGTAGAGCATGAGGTCCGCAGAGCACAAACATCCCCAGAGCACAGATGTCCCCAGAGCAGGAAGTCCCCAGCACAAGAGGACCAGAAGGGAGATGGGAACAAGGGTTCAAGGGCCCATGGGCACCTCCAGCCCCCGATTTCCACGGGTCCGTGGATCTGTGTGTGTCCCCATGTGGGGCAGCAGGGTGCGAGCAGGTGGAGTTCCCGGGGGTCGGTGGCACGCATGGGCAGGTGCAGGTGGGCTGGGAGAATGTGGTGGCCATGGCGTGACTCAGTGAGATGTGGACATAGCGTGGACATGTCCCTGGCCAGCACGGCAGTGGGCGCCTCATCCCCCACCTGCCACTTCCCAAGGCCGGCCGGTGACTGCATGCTCCCTGGTGGCTCTTCTCCCCAGGCCCACTGGGGCAGCGGGAACTTTAGCTGGTCTTCCTCCAGCCACCTGGTGGCCACCGTCACCGTCAAGGGTGTGATGACCACAGGCAGTGACACGGGCCTCAGTGTGGTCCAGGCACAGGATGTCCAGAACCCTCTGCATTTCGGTGAGATGAAGGTGAGACCCCGGGCTGGACAGTAGGCCAGGAGTGGCTGGGAGGCCAGGGGTGCCCAGTCTGCCCTGTGGGACCGCGACCTGGCACCCTCGCCCCAGCCGGAAGGGCCAGTGCCCCAGGGCTGGGGTCCTGGCGGGAGACCAGAGCACCCTGAGGACCTGGAGGGTCAGCCGGTCCAGAGAGGGCCACCCTGCCCTGGGCTGTTGGGTCACGGGGAGAGGCCCTGGGGCCCGAGACCCCAGAGCCACGCTGCGCCTGGGACTTTCTCCCTGACACGCAGGGCAGATGGCCATCCCTCTGCCCCCACGGCCTCTGCCCCCAGCCCCTCCTGACCACCGCTCTGAGCTCCCCTTCTTGACCCACTAACAGCAGAGGACACAGGCTGTGTCCCTGTGGTTGGGACGTGGGTGGCAGGTCCTTCCCCTTCCTGCTGGGAACCACACACCCACTAGACAGCCCAGGCCATGTGTGGACACCTGGACAGAGGCCCTGGGGGGGCAGCCCCATTGTGCAGTGTGGTGTCCACGGTGGCCACTCCCGGCCTCCCTCCTCCCTGCAGTTCCTGTGCCACCTGGAGCCCCAGGACAGCTCCTGGGCCAGGCAGGTGGTCCCCTCCTGGACACCCCCAGAGAGGGCTGGGCTGTCAGAGCCCCTCCTGGTCCTCGGGCTACTGGGGCTGGTGGCCCTGGGCTTGCCTGGCAGGAGACAGGAGGGACAGGTGAGCGAGCCAAGAAGCTGCAGGCAGTGAGTGGCCGCTTTGGCCTCCCGCCCTGCCCCAGGCCACCTGAGCTGTCCGTCCAGGGTCGCCCCTCAGATCTGCCACTGCTGCCCACCAGCAGCTTCCCCATTATTCGCCTGGTGGCCGATTTTTGCACAGGACCCAGAGTGTGGCGCCCTCTGCAGCCTCCCCAGCTCAGCCAGAGTGAAAATGGGGTCAGGCCCTGCCCATGGCCTTCTGGGCCTCCTCCCCCTGTGGCCACACTGTCCTTTCCATGGGGCGTTCAGGGGATTGAACCCAGGAGCCCTCAACCCCTGAGCACCTCCCCAGCCCTATTCTGTATTTTATTTAGGGACAGGGCCTCTCTGAGTTGCCCAGGGCCTTGCTTTTGCTGAGGCTGGCCTCCAACTTGCGATCCTCCTGCCTCAGCCTCCCGAGCCACTGGGATGACAGGGTGCACCACCACGTGTGGCCACACTGGCCTCCTTTGTGTGCCTACCAGGAGCTGAGCAGCTAAGTCCATCTCAGGACCGTCTCTTGGCCTGACTGTTCCCCAGGGAGACATTTCTCTACCTGGCAGGGCTGACGGGCTCATGTCTGTGCACCTCTCAGAGACCAATCCCCTTCCTAGTCAGCTCTGTGCTTGCATCCTCCGTGCCCAGCCTGGTTGTCCTCTGGTGTGTCCTCAGGGCCACCACAGCACACCTGGCACACTGAGCCACTGAGCCGCAGGCTGCTTCCTGCAGAGGCTGACAGCCCAGGCCTGGCCCTCCTGCAGGTGTATGTGATCGAGCCCAGCAGC